ATGAACAGAGCTATAGTCAGAATATAACAGTAGGCTATTTTAAGCTAATCGTATTCAGAAGAAGACTGGTTTAAGGCAAGTTTATTTATATAGCTCATTTTATGCACAATAGTAATTCAAAGTGCTTTACATTAACAAGAATAAAAGAAACAAGAAAATAAAAATTAAAAGAATTTAAAATGATTAAGACAGATAAAACAGATTAAAATTTTAAAACGGGTTATGAAAGAATAAAAAACAAAATACAAAAGTTGATGTATTTGAATAAACAAGCCTACATTTTGTTAACGATGAATAAAATAAAGTACATATTGCAAATTTGGCGCCCCTAGCGGATTGGGCTATATTCTTATTTGACTTAATAGCTTAGTAGCCGAATAGCTTATTATTATCATTGAAATAATTATTATTAGAAAAATTATCTACATTCAGATATACCTTGTAAAAAATTTCACTTATGCCCCCTTTGCTTACCAAACGTCCAGCTTCATTATTATGAAGATTAACTGCAGCTCGGGCGTCTTGTCCAGTCTCAAGCGCATCCACGAATTGTTTAGAAATTCTCTCTCCAAAATCCACGTTGTCGCTACATCCTCCCCATAGCCAGCCACGACCCCCTAAAAGTAAAATGCATCGTGACTGATGTAAATACAGTAAATAGCCAACTTTAATTCCATGATTAAATTAGTTAGTCGTCTTTGTGGTTTATAAATTTAACAGCTCTGTCTATATTAGGATGTTTTAGTATGCGAATTGGCCAAAACTGTTCTTACCAAGTCTGCCGTTCCTCGAGCTGTCACACCCGCATTCGTTTAGATCTCCAAGACTGCAGTTTCTGGTTAAAGTGTACATTACGCCGGCTGCGCTTATTGCATGGACAAATGATGACTCTCTTGTTGCTAGAGATGCAATATGGGCATGCAGTTATTTTCCAGGCGTTGTTTTTTATTTTTAAAGTTATACAGCATATATCTTACCACTTCTCAAGCCTTTGTGAGTAGAGAGTTGCAGAGCGGTGTCCGGGCAGTTCCACCTGTCCCATGCAAACTGGTGTTTGCACTCATGTATCCCACTCTGTGCCCCAACCCGCACACTATTTGCATAGGTAAGATAAGCCTGGAAAGATAGGAAAAGATATGGGTGTTTTGACACTCACGCTTCGCCACAAGCCAAATGATTAGGTGGTCAAGTTTTGTTTCATGATTTTTAAGGTGGTCGTATTTTTTAAGTTACAGAAAATTTACCTTTGGCCCAGTTATCAGCAAATTGTTCATTGTCCTATGAATAGAAAAGGTTAAAAAAACGCGTTAACAAAAGCAAAACTGTTTACATTATCGCAGTTGATGATCCACTTACCAAGTGTGTCCAAGGATAGCTTTGTCCCAAATAGGGAATAGAAAGGCCCAACGGAAGAAGTAAGCCATTATTTTAAATCCAAAGTGATAAGACAAAGGCAATGTACTGATTCGAGGAAGTGATGCGCGCTCCGTCGTGTACTTTATATTCCTCCAAAGGGGGTCAGAAGGAAGAATACCTATTGTTGCAGAATTCCTACCAAGCTATTGGTCCATACTTCACAGCCAAGTCAAGGAAACGCCTCCAGAACTTCAAAGGATGCCAATACACGACAGATGATTCTCCCTCTGCGGGCATGATCCCAAAGTTGCTGGGGCAGATGCATTATTCAAGTGTGGTTGAGTGTGATTTTACACCTTTAATTTACCAATAAACTTTTTAACCAATGGCATCCAAACCGCGCAATTAAATTGACAACTAGGAGACAGTGATTTTTCGTTTTAAATATCTAATGTGCTTCCCACTACAAAATAAGTCAATTTAATATTTACATATAAACAATGTGAGTTTAAAAAATAACAATATAAAATATTTGCCTTAAATAAGTTCCATAAAACACAACATTTAAACCTCATCGTGAAACACTGCATACTGTCAAGTGATCTGTGCATGAAAAAATACAAACATTTTTTGAGAGCAACAAAATCTGTGATCTTATGTCGAGAACGAAAAAGTGCAAATAATGAACTTCAAAATAGAACTTCAATGAATTCAATTGACAGTGGGAACGAGAAAGCCCATGTGTCTTATATAGAGCGTCAATTTACATTTTGCTTGCAGAAATATACAGAAAATTATATCTTAAAATCTCATAAAATATATTTACATTAGAAATATACAGCTTTACATATTTGCAAAGAGGATTACTTCATCCACGACGCGTGTGTTGTCTTTTGCGTGAATGGTTGTGCGGCCGGCGATTTCTGTGCCTTTTTGCGCAAAAATACCTGGTAACGGTTTGAGTGCATGTTTCGCATTTGACTGTGCAGCACCAGTGAAATTTACAGTTACAGCTGCTCACTGTCTCAATCCTCCTCTCTTCTACTTTCAGGCCACATTCGTGGCATAGCCGCCTGCAGCTTCTTCTCTCCCATTGAGAAAGATTCTTCCCGCTTTGTAGACATTCCCTGCCTTCAGTTCCATGTAGTCCCATGCTGAGGTTTTTCACGCAGTAATCAGGTGAATCTTCCATAAAAATGAGTTCTGTGCGCGCAACTGCGCTGAACGTGTCCGCTATTGCGCCACGGTTGTCCGCGCTATTGCCTGCCCTCATCCGAATTTTATCCATCTCCAACTTCCGTGCTTGATCATGCTTGATTTTTAGGTAGGAGCCGATATCTCTGAAATCAGCAAGCTGCATCCAGCATGTCTGAATACTACAGCTTCCAGACAAACCATGACACTTACAGGTCCTTTTGAGTGTTGCTTTAACAGCCTAAAATACATCAGAAATATGCACATGCGTTATAAAAACGAGTCATGTCGTTAAAGTAAAGAAAATGAACAAACTCATAGGTACTTACAAGTCGACCAGCTTCGTTGTTATGCAGGTTGACCGCGGCGCGAGAGTCGTGACCATTTTCCAGCGCGTCTACAAATAGTTTAGCAATTCTGTCTCCAAAGTTAACATTGTCACTGCAACCTCCCCAAACCCAACCACGACCACCTTCGAAATATAAAAAGTTTCACGTTATTGGTGTGAAAACTTAATAATAATAATATTAATAATAATAATCATACATTTATCTTACCCATTTTTCCGATCTTGGAGTCGTCACAGCCACAGTTTTCGAAGTCCCCCATGCTGCAGTTTTTCGTCAAAGTGTACATAACTCCAGCAGCACTTATAGCATGCACAAAGGCGGTCTCTCTGGTGGCTAAAGAAACAAACAGGCGAACAAAAAAAGTTTATCATAAAATATTATGGGTCAAATTTATACAACCTGGTTCTTCTTGCGTGGTGGAGAAAAATCACCGACTTGCGTATTAAAGGCTATATATTTCAAATATATACATTTAATGCATTACCTAATAAACACATTTGGAGAATAGATATACAGTAGTCAACATTTAAAATGTATCAAAACATAAAAAACTGTTCTAAAACTTTAACAACACCCATTCTTATTAGGGCTAATTGTTTTTTTTTTTTATTTCACATGCATGGTAAATTGTTAAATAAATTGTATGTATAAAGTTTTACGTTTAAAAAAATACAGTCATTTTATATTAGGCTTTGATTGAAAATATTTATGTAGTCTGGTTTTGACCGCTAGGAGTACACATGTAAACAGTTTTTCAGGATCATTTAACCATCGCAATGAACTTTTCAAAAAATTGTAGCAGTATACCTACTGAAAGTCTAAACTTTTTTTCAGTTTGATAAACGCTTTGAGATTCTAGCCAGAACTTTCTCTTAAAAGAAATGTTTATTTAAAGTCTATTTTTGATAGGACGAATATTTAACTTACCACTCCGCAGGCCTTTATGCGTCGATAACTGCAGTGCGCTTTCCGGGCAGTTCCACCTGTCCCATGCGAACTGATGCTTGCACTCTTCTATACCACTCTGAGCCCCAGCTTGTACACTGCTGGTGTATGCGAGATAAGCCTGATTTATGTAAAATATGAGCTTTGATTAGACATGTATACGTTTTAGACATTTTTTATGTAAAGATAAAATAACAAATTGCTCTGCAAGAATTTAGGTGTAAAAAATGTAATTACCTTTGGTCCTGTCATCAGGAAGTTATTCACAGACCTACGTGTAGCAAAAACAGAATAAAAGGAAGCATGAGGTCAACATGGGTTAAGTCAAATTTAAAAATGTCATAAATAAAATAATAGTAATAAATAAAAATATATGAAATATGACTGTACCATGCTGTTGACGACAGTATGTGACAGCATATAGACATAACCAACGACGCAAAAATCTGGCAAGGGTTCATTGCTGCGTGAGTGACCAGTGATTGCTCGATCCTCCCTTCTTCTTGAGATGCAAAGCACAAACACTGAGATGGATACGCACAAGAGACAGACGACAAGTGACTGACTGCTTGAATAAGCAAGGCATTTATACCTGTCGCCAACTTTGAGTGACAGGGATCTCCCAAGCTTTGACAATTCGCTGTGAAAAGACCTCGAGGTCGACGGTGAAATTGTTCTGCCTTAATTGCACTTCAAAGCATTATCACTTTTCACTATGCCCGTAAGTCTATTTTCATTAAACTATATATTTCCTGGGGATGTTATGTTTTAGTATGATTTTCGACAAATGTTTAAAAATTAAACATTATTTGAATGCCTACTTGCATAAAAAAGTTATTTAATGCGCTAACGTTTGTGGAGACAGATTGAATTGAACTGTCCAAAAGGCATCGACTGTTTAATTAATAATCATTCATTAGGCTTAGCCGTTGATGGTGTAGTGTATTCATGAATGGGCAGATTGTTGATTCCGCACTGGACATGCATACTGGACATGCATTTTTGCATCAGAATAGCTTTGATCTCCCATCTAGAATTAGGGGTTTATTAGCAATGTAAAAGAAGTTCAGAAATAATACACAATCCAATACACAATAGCCTATATTTGCATCGTTAAAACATTTGTAATGTCTGTTGATTTAGTTTGGTTTCTTGAACATAGGTTTTATTTGTTTCTTTTTTATAAGGATAGTTTTCACCGGGAAATGACACTGGAATGTAAGGGGATGCTCTGCGTTGTATACAAAAAGCCATAAAATCATTCGACTCCGTTCGCTAAGGGCCATGCAAATAACATGTAACACGTATACGCCTCTGACACTCTGGTGTTAATAGACGACCAGCTGATCCCCTGGGAAAAGCTCTGGTGTGAAACATGTCTGAAAATGTAATCGGATCGGTTGTGTGGATTAGTGTTTTTGTAAAAATAAAATAAAATAGGAAAGGTAAAAATGAATCAATACGATTTGTATGTCGATTTGTAGAATGTACAGCTTGCCATATGTCATTCAACGATGTGTATGAAATGTGTAGACAGCTTACGTGTCTTATTCTCTAAAAAGTAATGAGAAAAAACTCTATATGAGTCACAAAAGTTTCATAAGTTAGTGTTTAGTGATGATTTAACAAAATACAACCATGTGTCATACAAGACAAATTCAGATAAGCTCATTCACACCAAGTTATTATTTGTCACCAGGGGATCAACAGCTGAGAAGTGTAAACAAAAGGATAATCATGAGGGTGATTATATTTCATCATTTTACTTTCGATAACATTTGCGATTAATTAATACGCTATATGGAGATGTGAGTTTATATACGGTTGCTCGTGGAAGATTAATTGTAGAAACCACGTATTGACATCTTCGAATCAACCACCACAGTCACTCAAAACCCCTTTTCAAAACAACATTTATTCAATGGTCGGATAATGGTTTAACCAATGCTGCGGGGTGAAAGACAATGGAGGGACGCGCAAGTGAGGATAATCCCACTAATTGGACATCGACATCATCAAGTATACAAGTTGCCTGAAACCCAAATTCCCACACCTACTTGTCACAAAACAAACTCGTATTAAACCATTATATTGCGCTCGGAGAACTAACCTAAGTGGAGCCGTCGTGCCATAAACGCCCGCAGAAAACTTTTATGGAGTAACAAACTGCAATGACATCGCTTATTCTCACGTCTGAAAGCACGAAATTAACAAATAAGTGCAATAATAAGAAAGAAATAATCATTAAAACTGGCTAGAAGACCATCACCACAGCGTTTAATGGTATCATGACTCACCTTGCTGCACAGATGATCCATTTTGACGAGTCACTCACAGAAGCTCAGGTGCAGTTCATTAGCCATCTTGTGTTAAGGCATATCGCCATATTTTGTAATTAAAAGACTACCCGAGATGCCAAAAATGTAAATCTTTTAGGAGTTTTAGAAATATTCTGGGTTCTTGTATAACTTAACGATAAAAATAGTTTTTTTTGGTCAACGATTGCGCAAAAAGGCTACCCTTTAAAATCAAGGAAACTTTTCTTTCCTCAAAAGGTGTGGGGGTCTTTGGATTATACATTTCGTCATTACACTGACAATTTCTAAAATGTCAGTCATTTCATTTTTTAAGATGGAAAATGATACCTTAAAGCTTAACAGAAAGCTCCATTAAAAAAAAAACGAACTTTATGACAGACAAATTCTCATTTGCAAATTCACTTTATTATGCGGAAAAGACTAGTGTTTGTAAAGCAACTTGAAGTGTTCAGACTAATTATACACTCGTTGCTTTTTTTGTTGTTTTTAAACTCAGTTAAACTTTATTGGTTTTAGTTATGTCAGATTTCCAGAGTGATAAGTTGGTCATAAAACACGATAAGGGCTGGCGAAGCAGTGCCGTTGATGGGTGGCAGGAACAGCGACGCCACCTCAGCCGCGCTTCTCAAATACATCTCGAATATACTTTAGTTCAAAGGAGACCTAGGCGCGTCCTCTAGCACCTCATCAGAAGATGTTAATTCTAAAAACAAGAATAGCCCATTTAATTGCATGTAGTATCGGACAATCATTCCAGCTGTAGGCTGTGCTCTGATGTGAAGGACAAATTTTGGATGGAGGTGTTTTATAATAGCAATGTTAAGTTAAATTGTTTTTAAACTGAGAAATTATATATATACCAGTGGCTTCAGGTGCTATTATTTTTCATGGCGCCCCCGCTGGCCACATCACGCAAAAACGCTTGTACAATTTTAGATTGCTCATGGATCAAGCAAATAGTTTCTTTATTGTTATTAGGTCCTTACATTTGTGCCAGCTTAAAAGCTGATATATTATATATATAAAAATTAATTAATCTTGTCTTTCCATACAGAAATCATACAAAAACCAAATTCATGGATTTTTAATCTCCACCTTGGATGCACAAGTCAAGGTATGTGTTGTTTCTTTTTCTTTCCCAAGTGTGATATGTCGGGTTTCTAATGTCACATTACATATTTTGAACTGTACAATATCCATGGGATGAGAGCATAATAATATTGTAAATCCATTATTTAAATGATTGAATAGTTAATGTGTGGAAAATGTATAGTCAATCCTTATAGGGCCTGAAAAAGCCATGTTTAGTTCACAATTTAAACTGGTACATTGTCTAGACATGTATTTCTGTGAATGTCTGGTCAGACACGTTGCCACTGGATTAGTGATTATTGATTGTGTGACCATAATACAAGAACCTTTTGTTGTGACTACTTGCCCTATACAGTACAACTTGCTCCAATTTTAGTTTCCCAGATTTAATTAATTGTGTGTACAGTAATGTTAAGTATTTTGACAGGACGATCTATATCTTAAAGAAATGAATACTTTATTGAATATGAATGCATTAAATTGATCAAAAAGTGACAGTAAAGTTGTTTACATTGATACAAAAATATCAGTTTTAAATAAATTTTACATGCGCACATATATGGGAAAAATTAAGAGATCAATTAAAATGTATCACATTTCCTGGCATTTTTGGATTCATTGGGTGTGTGTGAGTAAAATGTTAACATTTGTTTAAGGTCTGATCCCATTTCTTTGAAATTTCAAATATAAATTGTCTGATTTACTGCCAATTGTTTTGGAAAAATAATTACAATAGGCCAAAATGGTAAAACAAATGTTTTAGTTTTTGTTGCATCTTTATTTTGCAAAAATAACAATTAGTTATTTTGTCCAATTGCCATTTTTGTTTTTTTTTTGCAAAATTATATTTCTGCCATAATTATTTTTATTTATTCATAGTTGTGTTAGTTGTGTGTGTGTGTGTAAAATAAAAAATACAAAATACATAATATATAATATATAATACTAACTAAATAATAATGACTCGTTAAAAAAAACATTTATGGAGAAAAAATGTACATTTGAAATTCATGATATTTCACAAGGTTAATATTTTTACCATATTTTTGATCAATAAAATGCAGCCTTAGTGAGCTTAAGAGACATTTAAAAAGAAATATTAACAATCAGTTTTAAGAAGACAAGTCATATTTGGCATTTTATTTGTTTTACATTTCACCTGTCTTTATTTCATGATGAAACCCTTTTAAAAATTATAAAAAAGAAACAAATGCACTAAACATATTTTGGTAAAATACCCATTTTAAACCCTGTCTCGCATCCTCCCCCTTCATCACACACCCATTCATAAGCCCCAGTGACTCCAATCGCCATGTTATCCATGCATCACGTGGGGCAATAGCACCCTTTAAACAGAAATAAGGATTGTAATATCTGCCATGTCAGAAGAACATGTATTGTGCTTGTCTTCTCATCGGCTCCTAGGTTACGGAGTAGCATCTCCTTTCCTCTCCTGTTCGATAGCTGAAAACAGATTACATATAAATAATGCTTATTAATACCTTTATTGTGAATGTAAAGCTTCTTATGAAAGAAAGAGAGATGTATTTGAAGGATGGTCATGCCAAATATCGTGGCATTTTTGCAAATTAGATGCTTATTCACATGGGGAATTCTGCAAGCAGGCTTAGGTCTGCACTGCAATGCTGATGGAGGATTTTGAGCTGACACCCATCTGCTGACATAAGAAGCTGAAAAAAAGAGGCAGTGTGATTGTGCTAGAAAAATAGAGAAGGGAATGGGAATGCAGAGGTGCCTGCAACAAAATGATAAATAAAGACACAACACTGCAGAGAAATAAAAGGCAGATGGGAGAAAAAAAAGAGACCAACACCACACCCAAAATGAGTGGACACACCGTATGCTGTAATGCAACACACATACACAGACACACACTCACTCTCTTTGGTGGGAAGAGGGTTCTTCTCTTTTGTCTCCGTCTTCTTCAGCTTGGTTTTGTCAAACCTAGCGATTTCTGTTAGGTCTGGCTTGTCAGACATGTTTGCTGCCAGCAGAGATGACAGATGTGATTCAGTGCATTGACCTTGCTTTTGTCTCTTGTGTGCTTTTACATGAAGGTATAACTTGCATGGTGTTTCTAAATGCAATATTTTTAGTTATCCACTGCACGGTTACAATTATGATTATGTACTGCAGTTATTTTTAACGCAAATAGCATGCTGCATTACATACAAGGTGCATTAGATGGTGTATTTTTCAAGGCAAGTATATCGGATGCTTCAGGAAGAAATATTTCCGTCACATGTACTTGTGTGATGGTAGCATGTAGCACACGTGTGTATCATGCAGCGCTGCCAACCGCCCACCTAGCTATGCATCTTAACATGCACCACAGCACATTTCATTCCTTCCTTCCTTTATTAGATCTACATCTCTTTTGTTGTTGTTTTTTCTTCTAGATTTTATGTATTTAAGCATACACCAGCCTTTTTTTCCCCTCCACATGCTACACTGCAGTGTCTTTCGCACAGGAAGAATAGCCATCCATTTTCCTATAGCCATTGCTAGTTTGCCATCTCCATTTGTCGCATTAGTCGCACTAAACCCACAAGCACATGCATTAGTTTTTGTTAAGCTCGATAAAAGGCTTACCGTAGGGCACAGAAGTGGCTGTATCCACTGGCTGGTAGAAAGAGAGGAGGACGGCGTGTCTGCTGAGATTAGACTGCGTCTGCTGGTGTCTGTGTGTCTGCTTGGGCGTGGAATTATGAGGAGAGAGAGGAAAAGAGGGAGGGAGGGATGCTGGAGAGCTATAGTCAGCCTGTCCTTTCTGTATCAGTAAATAGTCATGCTTCAGACATACAGCGCCTTTATGTGATGAATTAGTAAATCTAGGATATGACCAATAGTGCAGACATTAGGATTGCATGCATGGTCTATGCCACAACTGTCTGATGGGGGTTGGGATGTCAGACTGACCCTGAGTCATGTCTCGTTTTAACATGAGCCGAGGGGGAGCACTGTTTTACTGTTCTAACATTTATATCCTTTTTAATATGATTAAATGATAATTCCTGGAAATTATCCATGGATGGAAATCAAGTTAAGTGGTGCAGTATTATGAGATGTATTGCATGCATGCCTCTGAGGGTGAAATGGTATTATATTCTTATGCTTGGTCAGTGATTACATTCTTACTCATAAGGTCTCCTGTGAGCATGACATCATTCGTATTTCAGTAAAACTAGTCAACCTATGAAGGACATAGTGTTATAATTATACCGGACATATAGAGATATTTATTATAAATATATGTAATAATATAGCTCATTTATGAATATAATGTTTTTTAAATGTATATGTTTGTTTAATTTTTTACTTTTTTATTGTAATAAGGCTTCTTAATTGTAAAATATTTTACTTTTATTTTTTTAATGAAATGTATACCACTTTGATACCTTTTTGTCAAGGATAAGTCATATTTTGGTGTTGTTAATAATAATAATAATAATAATAATAATAATAATAATAATAATAACAATACTACTAATAATAAAAATTAAATTATTCAGAGAAATCATATTAAATACAAGTGTATAAAATACAGGTAAAATGTTTACAATAACAATTGTGGGGGTGACGTACAAATGTGGGTGTTCCAGTGCTACAACATTATTCTGACTCAATCGGTACTCGCTAATCATGGCCGATCTCATGAACCAAAAACAATTATTCGTTTACAAGCAGAGGACATATAAGAACTGGAAATATTAGGGGAATATATATATATATATATATATATATATATATATATATATATATATATATATATATATATATATATGTATATATATTAGTTGAAGTCAGAATTATTAGCCCCCCTGTTTATTTTTCCCCCAATTTCTGTCAAATGGAGAGAATTTTTTTTCAACATATTTTTAAACATAATAGTTTTAATAACCTATTTCTAATAACTGATATTTTTTTCGTTGCCATGATGACAGTAAATAATATTTTACTAGATATTTTTCAAGATACTTGTATACAGCTTAAAGTGAAATTTAAAGGCTTAACTAAGTTAAGGTTTGTTCTGTAGACTATCGAAAAAAATAGCTTAAAGGGGCTAGTCATTTTGACCTCAAAATGGCTTTTAAAAAATTTAAAACTGCTTTTATTCTAGCCGAAATAAAACAAATAAGACTTTCTCCAAAATAAATAATTGTTTCAGACATATCGTGACCATTTCCTTGTTCTGTTAAACATCATTTGGGAAAAAATTAAAAAAGAAAAAAAAAGTCACAGGGGGCTAATGATTTTGACTTCAACTGTATATATTATTAATGTTTTTGTTTTACTTGAATACTTAAAAATAAAGCTTATCGCAATATACTTATTGCAATAAATAGTAGTTTATGGACCTATTTCCTTTTATTAATAAGTAATGGATTTACAGGTGTGCATTTTAGTTTCTTATGCATCAAATTTGTGCTTCAAACTTAATCATTTGCAATGTTTCCAATTTTCTCTGTCAGTGATTTTTCTTACCAATTTTTTCCATCTGTTTTATCTATTATTTTTAGTAAAGCTGCTTCTGACCATTACATTTCCGCACTAAATGGTTATAAGAGACATGTTTAAAAACATGCAACATCTTTTATTTATTCTCTTATAGGTAAGGAGAGATTACCATTTTAGTATCATACTTTAAGCTTTATAATACATAAAGCACATTTTCTCTTTAAGCATCAGAATCGGTACTTGGTATTGGCTGATCACCCTGATAAGGAATTGGTGCTCCGTATCAGCGGCAAAAATCCTGATCAGAGCATCTCTACTTATTGAATATAAAAAACGTCAACAAAGAGAGTATGGGAGAGTTACACTGATTGACATTTTATCAATTTTTTTTTTTTGATACTTGAACACCCTTTGTTTTCTTTGACAGACATTCATGAACCAACATCTTTTAATTGTATATTAAAAATTTTACTTTAACATTCTTTTTGTTTTAACAATTTGAGTATATTTGCTAATTTGTAATCTTTACACCAGTCATCGGTGCTTGTCTGTTCTATTTTGTCAAATAAGTTAATTAAATTGAGTCCAGATCTTTTTCTGCATTCATTTGTCAATTCACTTGCCTGTCCTCCTACCAATAATCTTGCCCTAAACACATCCTTTGTTCATCTGATCAAAGACAATGCCTAAACTTTAGATATTGTTTGAGCAATTGCAGTCCAGCTTGATAGAATTGTGTACACACACTCTTGTAATTACAAATTCTTTCCCACATTGTGTGCTTAAAAATTTGTCAAAAAAAAAAAGATGGTTCTGAAAATAAGATTTTAGGTAACACATTTATGTCCTTGTGTTTTGATCAAGGTCCAAGGCAGATGATGTTGTGACTTGACAAGAAGATGGCGATATTTCATTTCAGTTCATTTCTGCTAAAGGCGATTTGTAGCTTCTCTGCAACTTTGCATGAATAAAAAAAAAAAAACGTTTTTGGTTTTTAGATATTATTTATTATTACTCCTATTAAAAAGTATTAAATACAATATAATTTAAATTATATATATATATATATATATATATATATTATATTAATTATACACTACTGGTCAAGTTATTTATTTTTAATTGCAATTTTAGAACAAAACATTCAAAGGCAATACAATTGACATCAAAATAAATACAATATAAAAAAAATAATTACCCTAAACTTTTGACTGATAGTGTGTGTGTATTCATAATTATAGAGATTACTAAATAATAATATGACACATTTAAAATACAAAAATCGTAGAAAACATCTTAAGCGACACGCTCCATGATAAGAGTGGAGTCTGTATGTGAGTGAGTGTGTATGTTTTTATCTTTAAAAAAAAAAATCAATTTTATCTTTTATTTTTTTAATTATTATTGTTGTTGTTATTATCATTATTATTATCGTTAATAGTTTATAACATTTACCTGTCCAGTGACAGCAGGTGGAAAATAGCAACTTTGCTAAAACCTGTCACAACGTATCTTTGCTTTTCAAGGTTAATGTGTTTTTGTGCATGCCCCTGTTCAATAAATAAACTCAAATTGTACTTCCCTAATATTTTACAAGCTTTATATTTTTTTTACTATATTTTTGATCAATATATTTTACATTTATAAAATCATTTTCTCTCAATATTTAAACAAACTTTTTAACAACTGGATGAATTGCTAGTTGTGTGCCATTTTATTTATAAATATGGTATTTCAGAAACATCAGAATTCATGAAACATGCCTTGTATTTTCAGATGATTCTGATCCAAAATTACCCAAACATAAATCTTTCCTTCCTTCCTTCCTTCCTTCCTTCCTTCCTTCCTTCCTTCCTTCCTTCCTTCCTTCCTTCCTTCTTTCCTTCCTTCCTTCCTTCCTTGCTTACTTGCTTTTTAATAGTCTATATTGATATAAAATTTATTTCCATTATTAAAGCACTTGCAAAATCCTATTCCCTTACTAAACTAATAAACATTTTTTAATTGAATATTTTTTTATGGAAATTGTTTTGAAAATGGAGCCAACTGTATAGTGAAGTACTAATCTGTTTTTTTAAACTACACCTATTGGCATTTTATCTATTCCAAAACTTCCATAACAAACTATATTTACAGATACTAAAAGGGATTAAAAGAAAAATTCAAAATGGATTTATGTAAAGTTTTGTTTCCAAACTAACAACTGTTTTTAAAATGTAAACAATTGCTTTGGATATAAATTAAACTAAATAAATATGGTGAAAATAATGACTGATTATCATCTGATTTAAAGCTTATCACGCTAAATGTCTTTTGTGTATATTATTATCCCATGTATCTCTGCAAATTCGAGGATAAATATCCTCTAGCGAGTCTCATTAATTCTCAGTTATGGAGTTTGCAATTCCTCTATTCTGGAGACATCAGGACGTGCCAGATCCCGCTTGTTGTCTAAAGTCTGAGCTGGCAGGAGGCTAAAAGCTCCATCCATAACCTTCAGTCTGGCTCCAGCTCCTTCCATTAACCTTTGAGCTGTAAATGCTAGCGGTTTGGAGATTTGGGGCCAGAGTCCATTGATAAGGTCAGTCAGACATCCAATTTACCTCATGAAAAGGCCAGAACAAACCAACAGAATCTCTCTGTCTTTAGTGTTTTGTCAGCTTACACTAACTCACGGCTGCGTTAGTCGCTCATATCAACTTCTCTCAAATTAAAAGTGCACTTGTGTAACTTCTTTTTAGGCAGTTATATGGCATATGACCACATGGTGGCAGTGTAAGTATACTTATCTTAAAATCATGTAGCCAGAAAGAGTTTCAAGCTTTTAAAAGGTGTAAGGTTCTTCATTGTCACATTTGAAATATGCTCTATTGACTATGTCTTACAGTTTGTTAGTATGTACGATAAATACTTATAATTGGAATAATTATTTTATTTATATTTATTCTGTTATTTTTGGATTTTCAGACACAGCCCATATATAAATCTCTTACATGTAAATATATGCAAATTACACCTAACATTTAATTTTCTATTTAAATTTTTATATTTATAAGATGTGCGGCATATATTTCAAAAATTGCAAAAAAGGGCTTTCTTTACATATATAAATATACATATTTACATGCATATATGTTCATAAATGAACACATAATTACAGCTAATATTTGAACACTTACACATTTGTAATTCCACTGGTTGGGAAGAAAATATAATATAAATTTAAGTATGAATGTATATACTCACGGGCCATTTTATTAGGTACT